CAATAGACACAGGCAAGCAGAATACGAATACGAAATATTTGTTTATTTCTAGTTCATATCTCTCATGTGCGCTACACTTGTTTCCCTTTCATTTCGCATTGCCCCGCTTTGTTTTGTGGCATGTTTGCGCCATTTTGCGTTTTTGTTTATGTTTAGCCGGGTCATTGCGGCCATTCCTTATGGCATACATATGTACATATGTGTATCCTTTTGTCTCCGTGTGGGTGCGGGGCTCTCGCTTTAAGTGTTTTTATTGTCTCTTGCTTAGGGTTAAGTTTTGTCATTGCCACGCTTTGTTTACGGCCGCCCTTGCCACATGCCCCATGCCCCTGAATCCCGGATCCTGTTTTTGCGGACATGCCATCGAGCTAATCCTTTTGTTTTATGGCGTTTAATTTATTTTTAAAGCTTTCTGTTTCTGCCGCACAACTTGTTTATAGGCCACAAACAGACCGGCAGGCAGAAGACAAAAAAAATATATATTTGTTTAGCATACTTTCCACGATACATTGAAAAAAACACCAGCCTTTAATTGAAACTCTTAAATAAAAAATGTTAATTGCGGATTTTAATTAATTGTGGCCTTATAGAAGTCACTTTTTATTTAATAAACATACTTTTTTAAATACTTCGTTTTAAGAACGGTTTAAATTGATATTAATTCTGCTTTTTCTGGCTTAAAGATTCTGATTTTTTTTCCAGTGCATTCTACTGCTGGCTGTTTGCTCTCTGAGCTTTTTTTTCCACAGCCAAACATGCAACAGGCCATGTCCTGTCACAATAATTGCCCACAGCACACAAAACAAACGCAGAATAGTACAGAACTAAACAGAATCCATCGCAAGGCAGGAGTAAGGGGTACCACATGCTCAAGTAATTGGCTACAAAACTGCAACATAACAATAACAATTCAATATGTCCGCAACAGATGCCCGATCCTCTCCCACCCACAAAAATCCACCTCCCACCCTCGAGTGCTTCAGTTTTGGCCGCCTGCACTTGTAAGCTTGGCCTAATTGGCCCTCATTACATGAAAGAGTTTTGCGTGGGGAATGCTAAGCGCAAATAAGACTCATCTGCGTGTGTGGTAATGAGTTCGAATATGGCCACGCCCCGAACATCTGCTGATGGCCATCGAGGGACACTGGAGATGACCAAAGTTCGCCTTGTCTTTCACACACTCAAGAAAAAATTGATGTCCACTATAGTTTTAAGTTTAAAGTTTTACAAAAATATGTTTGCAATCTGCGCTAAACAAAATCTCTTTTAACGCAATATTAATTAAAAGAACGTTGAAAAAGATCTCACAAATATCTAGTTATCTACCGGATAAGAATAATAAACAATTATTTTCGCTTGAGTATTTTCCTTTTCTATCTTTAGTTTTTATTCCATTTCTATTTCTGTCTGAAGAGGTCCCATGTTTCCCAATTGTCCTGTCTAGGTGAAGATTGTATTTGCCCACCGATATTAAATCGGCTTCGATTAATCGGAGGAATATGTGTGCTTAGTATTCCGTTTGTGTTTGTGTGTGCGCGCGTAAGAAGTTGGCCAAATAATTGTTTTCCATTATGCGCACACAAAAGAGGCAAATGCGACCTTGAGTTAATGGTCGAGATGTTAACTTAAAGTGCTTTTAGCCCGGCCAGTAAAAGTTTCGGTAATTGGGCATTCAGTAAGCTGGCGCTTTAAGAGGCTTTCGAGCCATTCATGATTTGATTTGATTGCAAAGTGAAGCATCAAACAAGGTTAAAATAAGGCAGAATTTTTGCAAGCCAAACGGAATATTGTTTAATATTAATGATTGCTTTAAAGCGCTGGGGACTTTTGCGTACATTTTGTTTAAGACTCCCAATATTTGTTCAATTTTTATCTGCTAGGCCACAACTCAATTACGATTTGATTGCTGAATTACCAATTTTGGGGTTTTTTATACTCAATTCTCTAATCAACCTCAGTGCAAAACTCTCGATTGTGGTCAACACCGTAGCAATTTAATTCGATTTGCCATCGATTAAAGAGTCTGCCACAAGACAGGGATCAGGCGTCAAGGGACAAGTCAGCCGAGAGTCCAAAGTCTAGAGTTGGAGTGTGCTTCATGCACTCAAAACTAATGCCCTAATGAATGGTGATGGCTCTGAAAGGCTCCTCGTCTGCCACTTTCAACTCTCATACGCACACAATGGCTATCGATTTCTGGCCGGGATGGGGTAGCGATAATAAAACCATTGGCAGAGGCCCCCAACTTCAACAGGCCGCCTTCACGATGTACGTGTCTGTCATTTTGAATTACAAGACGCGTCTAAATGTAAAGCGGTCATATCCCCGGGCCACGGGGCGTATGAGTAACGCCTTCGGAAATTGCTGTGCTTTGCATTCGCTCGGTGCGTTTGGGAGCGGCGCCCAAACTGCCAACTTGTAGCATAATTGTGCGTCGTTAAGTTTATTATGAAGTGCCATCGTACACATACATAAAGAGAGACATGAATGGCGGAGCACTTTAAGTCAAGCAATTGGAAACTAAATTGGAATTTTTATGACAGGCATCAGGACTTGGGCATCGGCCATGGCATCTCCGCACTCACATTCACACACTCGCTGACACAATGCCAGCCAACGGGCTAACATGGCGTATGCGCATTGTGTGTGCGCATTTGACCAAGAAAAGCCAACACAGCCACACATCCCCAGGCCCCCCTGCACATAAATACACTTATAATGCGTTTTGCATTTGTTAAATTTCCCCCAGGCCCCGTTTTCGGGGTGTTTGGTTCGGTTCCTGGGCTCCTCGGCCCTTCGACGTATTATGCGTTGACATGGCCGAATTTTCACGCCTCACTTGGCCCGCCTTTTGGCCTTTTGGCCATTGCGGCTCAGTGATCCATTCACTGTCGAGAATGACTTAATGAACGACCAGCCGGCGATGTATGTATATTTAATGCCACAAGGAATTAGTGACAGACAAAGGGCCAGATTTGCATCACCAAATTGGGTTTTTCAAGGGGTCTTTAAAGTGCCACATCTTACTGTGCAGCTTGATAATTGTAGATACGTTTAGTGAAAGTTAAATGTCAGCACACCCACAAAAATAAAGAAAGAATAATTTTAGAACGAACTTTCAAAAAACAGTATCTAATCGTAGGTACTTGTTATTTTAAAAACATTCGTTCCTAAACTAGGAATCCGACGCGAATTTTTCCCTCAGGGAATTCGGATTCAATTTGAAAGGCATACTCTTGTGGACATCTGCAAACCAATTGTTATTACTATTTCTGTTGAACTGGGCAAAAGGTTTTTGGCGAATAATTCGCCTTCGCAGTAATGATTTTGATTTTGTGAATAATAATTAAAAGACACCTTTATTGACACCTGGACACTAATAGCGTTTGTTTTAATGCCATGCTGAATACCTTTGCTTTAGGAAAATATTTGTGCTTTTGCATTATTTATTTTGCGAACATTTCACATTTACCATGACAATTACTATTTCTGTTGAAATGTAAACTCGCTTGGAGATAATTAAAATGCCCATTGGATGACAGCTGGGTTAAAGGTCTTTGGCGAATAATTCGCTGTAATGATTTCGATTTTGTTTCCGACACCTGGGCACTAAGAGCCTTTGTTTTGATGCCATTCTAAATACCTTTGCTTTAGGAATATATTCTTGTATTTAAGGACCTCTGAAATGGCTCCCTTAATTGCATTTCATTAGGTTTATTTCAACGTGCCCTGTGTAAGAGAAAGAACCATGAATGCCTGGTTTTTTCTGTGGCTCCGACAACTCCCTGTGGATAGATGTTTGCCGACTTGGCTTTTCTATTTGGCCGCCTGCAGCGAATGCCCCGCCCCTCCTCCCTGAACGCCCCTCATGAGTGGCTTTTGATATAACACATAATAACAATATATTTGAGGGTGTGTTTATGGGTCGTATGCAGAAACTGTTGCCTGTTGTGGGCAACTTTTGTTGCTGTTTCTGCTGTTATTTGCCTCTTGGCCATTGGCACATTCACAAACACTCTTGGCCCAATCTGCTTTTGGTTTTAGTGCGTTTCTGTCTATGTTTGCTTTTTGTTTGCGAGTTTGTGGCCGAGGAGCTTAGTTGCTTTGCTGGTTTGCTGCTGTGCTGCTTTTCTCGTTCGAATGCGGTTGGCACAACCATCAAATTGCACTGCAGCTGCACTGCACAGCTCCTCCATTATTTAAGCCAAGTTTCGAACAGCTAATCTGCACTCTGCTCGGTGTTCGGTGTTTGGTGTTCGGGGCAGTCTATTAAACTCGGTTTCGCAATTCAACAAAAATGAAATTAGCAACAAATCAAAGTTCCATTGAAGGAGAAACTTTCTGTGGTCGAAATTGGGGCAATTTTAAACTTAATTAGCAGGATTTCCTCGGCTTCGCCCCGTCGAGTGGCTCATGTTGCTCTTTGTGTGAAGGATGCATTGCAGAAATCCGAGGCGAAGAACAGGGCATCAAGTGTCGCTCAACTTCATCTCCATCTCCATGGCCATGCACCATCGTCATCGCTATTTTCATCTCTCGTCATCCCCGACACACAATTGGGTTTTATTAACTCGAGAAGAAAGCCGAGTCAAGGAGCCAGCGATGAAATGAACTGCGCTGCTCTCCAGATGGCACTCTGAAATTGCTTTACGGGGCTCGAAAAAATGGGGAAAAACAGCACTCCAACTTCCCGCATTAACAAGACTCCGAGTGGCTGGTTTTTGTATTTTGCATAATTTTATTATGTTTTATTTGTTCACTTTTCTCATGATGGTTTTGTTGTTTTTTTTTTGTTTTGGTAATTTTCGTTACATTTAACTACACAGACTTAAAGACTAGAAATTATTTCTGCAGCTGCACAAATCGATATTTACACACAATCATTGGAAGCCTTTCGCTCAATGCCTTTCTCCACTCTTTAGTAGGTCGCCAATGCCCTTGTATTTGCACATTGCTAAGACAGTTAAAAGTTATGTCCACTAATTAAAAATTGCTAAATATCCCTTATGTTAGACAATTAGTTTATTTTGATTACTCTGTTCGCTTCTGGTTTTTGGTTTATCCTCTTTTGATTAACAACTTTTGCCAAATGTTGCAATGCTTATCTATAAACTTTACCCTCTGCAGCACTCCTAAATTTGTTTGCACACATCCGTTTGCAAATAACCGCTGCCCTCTCTTAAACGTAATAGTTTATTTATGTAATTTAGTTTAACAAATAATTTATTTACAGCTTAATTCTGAAAGTTTCTCGAGTAGAACCAAATTCCTTTTAGCTAAATCCATTTTAATCAGTTAAGTGGTTGTCTGTACAATGCAGCATAAATCAGATCCGAAATGATTGAGTGTCTGGGTGGCCGAAACTGAGTTCTTAATCGTAGACGGGGGACTTGTAAAAATATGAATTCTAGATTGGAAATGCACGTCAGTTCTTAATATTGAGCTCGCTGGCATTTCCAGGATCCAAACTACGTATTTAATGCTCTATTTTTTGGGATCCTTGAAATGGCTCTCATTTTCTCTCTTTACTTTCCTGTTAATAGTCTGCAAAGTTAACCTTTATATAATACATGTGCGGCACAAGCTGCATCCTGTGGCTACGTATGACACTTATACATTAACGAAACACACACGGACACACATACATATAAAAGGAGAGTGTTCTTTGTATACTATACATGCACACCTGTATGCTATATATATGAGAAGAGAGAGATAGGGTTCTTAAGTTTGATTCGCTTGTCTGATAGTTTTGGCTTAGGCGTTAGGTGTATGGTATGGTAGTACGTATGTATGTCGAGGGATGCTGCTAGCAAGTAGTAGAGAAGTAACTAATGTTGGTTTAGGGGGTTCGGGCTCCATAACTAAGCAGATCCCGGGCAGATCGACCTTCTCCGGCTGGTAATGATTCCCTTTGGGAACTCCTTGGGCCATCTACACGATCTTCATGTATATGCTCGTGTGGAATATCCGATAGCCGCTGGCAATGATTATCATAATCATATGCAGCTGGGACTGCATTGTCTTCGTGGAGCCGCCCACATGGCCGTGATACATGGCAGCCGGATTGTCGCCTGCAGGAAAGAAAAGAAATCCGGAGAATATGAAAATGAAATTTGCACAAAAATTTAATTAAAAAAACAAACAGATATATATATGGTAGTGCTTTTATACACACGGTGAACGGCGAAGTGTGAGCTTAACCAACAAAATGCTAATGAGCGTCGTCGCTTCATCGCGCCAGAAACTTATAAATTATGACTGGCACTAACTACGTGGGCACTCTTTGTTTGTGTTAGCCTCTGTCGTTTGTCGTCTGCCGTCTCTTTCTTCCACCCTCTACCCGTCTCTCTCTCTTACCAGCCCCACATTTGTGTTTATAGCCCGGCTTTAATGGCAGTTGGCTCGGCGCACCGTGCGCGGGCATTTTTAATCCACATGCTTGCGGCCGTGTAATTTTCATAAATTACTTTTATTGTTTTCCCTCTTAGCCAACAGAGCCAACCGAACACGGCTGATATATGAACTGCAAAAGAGCTACCGGATACTGAAACAGATACAGGATGCGGATACATATAGCAGATACAGATACAGCTGCCGAGATACAGATGTACAAGAATTACAGATACTCAAATGAGCGGTCCTTTGTTTATTCAAAGTTTTAATTTCATTTGGCGGACATAATTGAAATTTCTCTGGCACAGAACGAAGCTTAACTCGATTGTGCACAGGCACAAAGCAGGGGTTTTATTTTAATTCCGCAGTTCATTATTTCATTATTGTATGGTTTCCCAAGAAATGGTTTTCGAGTCAATGGAAATAAAACATTTAATAAGGGAAAAATTAAAAACTGTGATAGGAGACTTTAAAAAACTTCCAATTTCATTTTCAAAAAATATCTATTTAATGGAGGGCCCTTGTGGGTCAATAAAATCTCTATTGTGTGAAAAATTCCGAAAGCGGGGAACTCACCTTTGAAGATGTGCACCAGAACGCTGGCTGGTTGCGTGTTGCTGGCGACGCAGGTGAAATTTCCCGAATGCTCGCGTCGTGTCCGCTGAATGGTAAGCTCCGATGATTGAAAGTCTGCAACGGACAGCAGTCGATAAGGGGTTAAGACCGGTGAAAAGAGCTGGAAAATGGCAGGGTAGGTATGGCTGACCACCACTCACCTGGCTCCGTTGACACATTAATGCCCCGATCAATGTCGTAGTTAATCATGCGGTTGTCGTGATACCAGAATATATACTCGGAGGCCTCGGTGTTCTGCACCACGCGGCATTGCAGGCGCAGCGTTGAGCCCGGTGTTAGATATCGAATCGGGGGACCCGTGATCTCGGCGCGGGCTTCTAACCAATCGATATTGGGTTTGGGGAAAGGAAAAACAGCAATCGATAAGCGTTTTAGTTAAAGTAAAATAACATATTATTTCTTTCAAAATCATATCCCGAGTTAAAGCTATTTTAAGCTACTATATTTGTATTATAACCAAGAGCAAAGGTTAGGGCTTCCTCGGGGGTCAAATCGAGTCAAAGTCAAATCCTTTATTATCATCTGACTAAATCGGTTAGCATCCATTCCTGACAGTTATCAGTTTCCCTGAGAGCCCGCCGAAAGTGCCCCACAAATTTATGAAATACATCTGGCAGGCAGCCCATTTTGCCTCGGAAAAGAGGAAAATGTGTAGCTGGCCTGTCACATCAGTTTCCATGTATGTGGGCCAAAGAGAGTGGCTTTGTTTTTTGGGGAAACTGCCAAGATGAAGCAGCCAGGAGCAAGGAGCAAGAGGCAGAAAAGGCCATTAGGCGCAGCACATTCAAAGTAAATTGTTTGTTAAATTCAGAATAATGTGCGTCAGTTAGCCAAGGACAGCGCGATGAGTTGAGAACTTGCTGAGTCGATGCCATTTGCCCCGAAAACGAGTTCGTTCGCAACTTGAGAACCCCATCTCCGAACTTAACCCATTGACCCGACCCCCTTTTCTATCTCAACCCAAGCCCATCCCAAACCAATTCCACCTTTGGCATATGGACATTTCTAATTTCAGCTTGAGCGCATCCAGAACGTAACGAAAATGTGGCAAAAACTAACCGGGCTCAGAACTCATTCGGTAGACTTTCCACTCGGCATTTGTTTACTCGGAAAGAGAAAAACCCATCAAGGCGTGAAATTATAGAAAATCACCAGTGCCCAGACCGAATCACAAATAGAAATGGAAACCAAGGCAAGGCAATAGACCATAGACCCAAAATCGGAGCCGTATCTGAGGCAATTCCGGCCTCTACTTACCGACGACACTCAGGTGCAGGAAAATCGAGGTGGGCGGGTGAGTGGACACCTGGCACTCGTAGACGCCGGCATCACGTAGCTGCACGAATTTGATTTGCAGTGTCCAGTCCTGCAGGTGAAAAAGGCGCAAAAAGTGGCCAGAAAAATGGTTAGAATTAAAGAACATCGGAGAGGGGGAGGGGGAGACATTGGCCTGCCTGGAAGTCAATTTGCTGCGCTGCAGTTGCGAAAATATTTTGCAATATTCCGCAATGAATTTTTGTCACGTATCGGCTATTCGAGGCCGACCACTGCAAAGTTTCACAATGCAGCAAATATTCACCAGGAGGCATGGAGATGACAAGCTGAGAAAAGCACTGGGAAAATTTAGGTATCTTGCCTTGAATGTCTTAGAAATTACAGACATTTCGTAATAAATATTTTCGAAAATTACTGTTGCAGTAAAGAAACTTATTGAAATTGAATTACTATCGTTAATAATTTAGAAATTAAAATTTTTAAATTTTTCTTTAATTATGACATTTTAAGAGCCTATATTTTTATGATTTAAAAAGGTTAATGATCAAGGTTAAGTAATTACTTTTTAATTACTAAGAAATATATTTTATTTGTGTTCTAAATTATTTCTTTTTGCTAAATAAATTTATTAATCTATTGTCTATTCCTCAATATTTAATTTAACTAGTTGTTTCAATGATTTATTCACATCAAGAATATTTTCTCTAATGGTAGAAGAAGGAAAATCGATTTAAAGTAACCAAACAAATGTTGTAATATCTTGAGTTGATCTTTTTTGCTAGAGTGTGAGGCATATAATTTCGTATGCAGGTCTCCGATTCGATGCAATCAGCCCCACCTCCGTTTTCTCGCCCTTTTCATCCTTTCCCATCAGCAATGCAAATTACTTTGCGCAGGACTCACCTCGGAATGCTTCAAGTGCGTGGCACTGAACCGCTCATCGCTGCTGTACGTTGTTAAGCCGACCGTAAGCAGATGATAATCCTTTTTGCGTATCCACGATACCTAAAAATAGATGGATGGGTTTGGGTTCGGGTTAGAAGGCGTTTCAGATAGGGCGGCGCCATTAGCCAAATACAATGGGATTCGTTTGCTTCAAGGACTACAGCTTTTTTCGTTTTTCGGCTCGAATACTTAACATATGCTCGGTCGACCGGCCTGGTCCGAAGATGGGTCCGAGCCCTCTGTCTTGTTCAAATGTTTGCCAATCCATCAAGATGGGACTAGCATGATGACAACGACTTGATGATGATGCAATTTTCAAAAGGCACACAGATACAAAACGGTTAGGCAAAAAAATCAAAAAGCAATTACGTGTAAGAATTACGACAGCAGCAACAATAAACATAATAGCAGATTGATTGATCCTAGGTTCAAAGTTCAAATTGGCTACCTAACTGTAAATAGACAAACAAACAAACAAATGGGCGGGGCACCCACCCAACACGCCCCTCTCGACAAATGGCGGGCGTGTCCCTAGCACCCTCGCCATCGCCCTTTTTTCATTTTTCTCCACTTTCCCTTTTCTGAGTGCGTCTGAATGTGACTTTAGCTAATCTTAAATGACCATTAATCATTTCGTCATCTACTTTTTGCGCACTTTTTTCTAACTGATGATGTAGGCAAGAACACAAACACTGAGAGAAATAATATTCGAACAAGAAAGGAAGCTAGCTTCGGCCAGCCGAAGCTTAAATACCCTTGCAGATCATTCCTATTAATTAACAAATCGCAAAAATGTTCAATTAATTTCATTAATCTCATTAATTTTCCGATCGTTCCTATGGCAGCTATATGATATAGTCGTCCGATTTTGATCAAATTAAAATTGAAATTCGGAAATATTTAAAAAGAGTCATATCCTAGAGTAGAAGATAATACAATTAAAACGAAAGAAGCTAGAATTTATTTCCTATTACTTTTCCATTAATTTCCCGATCGTTTCTATGGCAGCTATATGATATAGTAGTCCGATTTTTTAAATAATTAATTCGAAATTCAGAAATATTTAAAAAATAACATCCCCAAAAGTAGAAGGTGATATTTCAAAAAACACCGAAGCTAGAATTTTTTTAACGTTTTCTTTTCCGATCCTTCCTATGGGAGTTATATGATATAGTTGTCCGATCCGGTCGGCTCCGACATATATACTACCTGCAATAGAAAGAAGACTTTTGGGAAAGTTTCATCCCGATAGCTCAAAAACTGAGAGACTAGTTTGCGTAGAAACAGACAGACGGACAGACGGACAGACGGACAGACGGTCAGACGGACAGACGGACAGACGGACATGGCTAGATCGACTCGTCTAGTGATGCTGATCAAGAATATATACACTTTATGGGGTCGGAAACGTCTCCTTCACTGCGTTGCAAACTTCTGACTGAAATCATAATACCCTCTGCAAGGGTATAAAAAGACTTTACATCTAAAAGATTGTTTTTTTAATGGTTACATTTTTTTGGCTTATTAAAATAATTTTTTGTCCAGACGCTGACATTTTATGTTATACACAAAGTTTTAAAAATATTTGTAAAAATTATTTTTTGAGTATACTATATTTTTTCTCTGTGCCATTTCTGGCAACACATCTATTAGCTGTCCGTATGGGGTTATTGCCTCACGAAGATGATGATTTTGGTGCTGCTGCTGCAAAGGATCAGGCCCAAGCACCTAAGCGCGTGTATCAATCAATTTTCAATTGATAAGGATTTTATTTATTGGCCAACAAAAAAAAAAAAGGAAAATAACGAAGTAAAAAGCAAGAGCGAGCAGTTACTTTCAACTTTCTTGCGAGGGTTTTCATACCAAATATTGACACACGCGCGCTGCAAACTCAAACTGAAACTGCCACAAATGCGAGCAACAAAAACTCAAAAAAAAGACCCACAGGAGAGCCAGCAACTTGAAATTAAGTTGAACGGCAGAGAAATTGTTAAATCAGCTGCGTTTGCCAATAAAAACGAATTACATTCTCCGTGCTTAAATGTTTAATGCGGCGTATACGCAATGTGGCGCAGCAGCAGTAGCAGAATCAGCAGAGGTTGGAAAATGGCGCGAGTCGAGGGATTTCCCATTCGCCATCCGCCATTCCTCCCAAATATCATAATCCCAGTCTCGAGTCCCAGCGAACTTTCAGCTTAGGAAATACATAATATTCCTGCACTTTTGCCCGGCTGTCCGACCAAAAAGAAAACAATATTTCAATGCTGGGGAAATTTGCAATTGAATGGCAAGCAGTCGTTTATTATCAAGATTCTGCCCGGCATATGCTAGCAAAATCTTTCCATATATCTATTCAATACAATCTGTAACAGTAAAATCCGAGTGTGAGGCATAAATTGCGCATAAATTCCGTTTTGGCCCGCAGCTCCTAGACGACGCCAACCGACGACATACACATCTATATCTATATCTGTACATATACATAGATATATATTTTTTAGGATTTTTACGATATTTATGATGGCAAAAGGGACTGCGACTGCGAGTGCTACGTGTCTGCAAATAAACCATGCAGCTAGCCAGAGGAAAAACACAAGAGTCGAGCAGCTGGAGAGGAGCGAAAGGAAAGGGAAGACGTGGAAAAGCGGAATGCCTGGGGAGTGGAAATGGGAAAGGGTGCCAAGTGAAGCCATCAGGGGGAGTAAAATGTGGCGGCAATTAATCAAAAGCCTGCGAATTCCTTTCCCTTTTGGCAGGACTTTTTATGTGACTGCATGCGAAAGGCTGTGAGTTTGTGTGTGTGTGCGTATCGCATAAATCTCAGCCGCCTGTCCTGCGATCGCATGTGTGTGCGTATGTGTATTTGCGAGAGTTGGCATCTCCTCCGATTCCTGCGAATCCTGCGGCTCCTGCGGCTGCAGCTGCGGGCACGCAGATAATTGTTTACATTTTACCTTTTTTTCAGCTGTATGCTAAATAAAAAGTGACGCTTAATTTATGGCCAAAAGCTACAGCGCACACACCACAAATCACTTGTTAGCAAATTTATGGCAAATTTATGCTAACTACTTGTCTGCCACGTTGTACCGCCAACAGTTCCCCGAAGGTAGGCCATCTACAGTACAGTGGTGGGCAATAAAATAATATTGAGAATTTTTTAATACATCAACATGCCTTAAAGTGATATATTTGTAGTATTTAAAAAAAAAGAAATTCTTTTGATTCGTTAGAATATTAAGTTGATTTAAGAATCCTCTTAATAAATAAACATACAAAAGATGGAAAATTCCTCATATTATAAGCATATCGTTTTTAGCAGGCAATACCTTTTTTTTCTGGGGTGTAGGTTATACTTTTCCAATTACTTGTTAAAAATAATTGAGTAAAATAAAATTGAGTTGAAGCTTTTTATTTTAATTTTTTGTATAATATAATATTTGTATTATTATTATTTTTATTTATTAGGTATATTTAAAAAAAAATACTTCCACTTTGTTAACCCCTTCTGTGAATTTTGTTAGCCTGGCAATGCACAAAATGTCGACTTATCGCGGGATCGCGATCTCTGACAGCTGGCCCCATATGGGCGATATCTGGGTGGCTCGACGGGGAAGAGGAAGTGGGTATAGCCGGGGGCCTCCGATGGGTTCGGGTGATTGGGTAATTGCATGGCTTGGTGGCTAAATCTATGCACAAGCCGATTGCATCGAAGTTTGTATTTACTTTACTTTTTACCCCTCGCTGGGCCTGGCCCGTTGAAAACTTTTGATTGGCTTTTGTTCAGCTCGATGTTGTGTGTTTTTGTTGCCTGCTATTGACGCACATTTTTGTGTGCTTTATGTGCCGCTGTCCGACCAATTTCCGCTCTGCCACAATCCCAGCGGGCAACTAGCTGGTACAAAAAAAAAAAGAACAAGAAAAAAGAAACAGCAGCAACAACTTTTTCAATGTGAAAAAGTTTTAACAAGCGATTTTAATAAAATTCTATTTAGAAACTGCAGCGGCAACAGCAGCCATTTTGGTTGCAACTTGTCCCGACCGAACAAATGAATGTCTGTGTTTATTTTCATATGCGGCTGCAGTTTGGCACTCAGCTTAAAAAAAAGAGCGAGTATTGATGCAGGTGTATGCAGGGATGGCCCGGGGAAATCAGCTTTACATTTTATAAAATTTGATTGCTCATGCAACAAAATACCCATAAAATAGAGCCTGTATTTTCCAAGCTTTATAAACAAAAATCTGGCACACTGAATATATTTCTAGCAAAATATCAAAACTATGGTACTACTAATATTATTTATTTCGTTTCACATATATGCCGTTAATAATATTATTATTTGTACTTACAAAGCCGACACTCTAGATATATATTTTTTAAAATACTAAAGCTGTATTAAATTCCATTTATTAAAACCAGACTATAAGCATGATAGTTATATTTCACAATAGTTTTTTGCCCATTGGGTCCACCCTAAAAAACACAGAGCTTTTACCAGAAAACTCGCTCAATTTAGTGTCGTGCTGTTTGCCTGACTTGCTCCCTGAAAATTTTATGTTCGAGTAAATATTTGAGCTGACAACTTTATTGTTCTGCTGCGACTAAATTCACTTTTTCTCCCTGCAAATCGATTTTTTAGCGGCCACCATACATACGTAATTGAGAGCAATCGAAACTCAAATCGAACTCAATTCAGCGGAAATGCATATTAAGTGCAATTACTGCATAATTAACCAGTCACTCTGAAAACACTAATTGCAACTCACACTAAGCGGAATCTATTAGGGGAAATGAAAGTTGGGAAATAAATTAAAGCTTAGATGGAAGAAGATTTGAAAGATGTAGTGAACTTTGACCTAATAGGATTAATGGATTTTCAACAAGGACCTTAAAGGGTAACCCAACTCAAGGTTTACCTATAGCCCATTACTCATTCACTCAATAAACACAAACAAAGAAGCCCTCAGGATGATTACTGGCCCAACTCTATGCTAATATTTTCCACCAATATTTTCTACACTCACGCAGCCCTGGGCTCGCCAAACAATCACCCATTACTTTT